TTTTAAAAACACTTCTTCCTTTAAGTGTCCTCCTAATGCTGTCAACAGGTTCATTTATTTTAAGAGGTTTAAAAGTCAGAGACCAAACTATAACTATTTCAGAAGTCATTGGACTGTAAACCCTGGAAGAGTAATCCACTTCAAACACTGACCAGATACCTGACATACCTGCCTAAGGTCGAATCACATCTTACTGCAAACCACAGCCCATGAATTTAACGACTGTTTTTCTTTCTTATCTCCCCCCTCCACCCCCCACCCCCCTGCATCTTCTCGGACCTAAGGCCAGGCTCTGCGGTGCTACAAGTGCAAAATTGGCTTTTGGAACGTGTGCATTACCACGGAAAAAACGTGTGAAGCAGAAGAACACTGCTTCAGTGGTATCGGTAAAGCAGGTAAGAAGATGGAGATCGCTGTCGACTCATAACAAAACATTTGGCATCAGTAGTTTAGATTGAATCAAACACTTTAGATTGGAACTTACTGGGAAACGGAGTTCGAGGAAAGATGATGTCTGTGATGTCTGGACTTTAGTCCATCTTCAGGTGGTGCTGATCACAGATTCTATTTTCCTGTTATCATCACTGAGCTGTTAAAATGTAGATTGGAATCATCTACATCTGTCATCACTGATAGTTTCACTCACTCAGCTAGTGACATGAGATTCCTTCCATTCCTCCATCATGACAGTTTAGCTAAGCACCTTGGTAAATGTGTCCATTCAATACACTTTGACGAAGGAGTACAGATACAGTATGTTGGGTTTTTAATGTCTTTAACACAAGTCGTTTCCATGCAAAAGTCAATAGTTTGTTTGTTGTAATTGTTTTATCTTTTACTCAAACATTAACAATTTTTTTTTTTCTTCCTTATACGTCACCACACTCTTCACATTTGGTTTGATCATGTTACTAGGTGTCATTTAGAGCCATTTAACATTCCAGACAATTAAAAAGAAAAAGCCAACAACACACCAGCAGAGCTAGTGTTGATAAAGATTCTCCCTTTTCCATTTCCTGTTACCTTCACTTCTCTTCATCGACATGTTCTGTGAATGTTGGACGTCCAGGTCTGATCTGACAGGACAGGGAGTTTAGACGTACATCTTCACGTGTTGGTTTTTATATCATTTGTCGTGGCAACACAAAAGATGACCTGCGTTCAAACCTTAGCTACCTCAGGCCAAAGAATTACATCATTGTCGGTGTAGTGTACTCATCCACCTAAACTAGTTTTGCCGATGTAACGAGAAGCTACCGTCATTTGCTGCTTCAGTAAGTGGTCAATGTGAAGCATCATGTCAGAGTGGAATGTCGTTCCAGGAGAATGCAGTTGATCCATTTAGCATATTTGGATTAAGACTTTGACATTTGAATAGTTTGTATCATGTGACGCAAAGTGCACATGCACTTTAGTAAATGTTATTCTCAGAAGATCAGACCTTTGGACCAGCCATCTAAATGATTCTTACACTCAAGTTTATTTAAAAAAAAAATTCCAGTTGTAACCTACATCTACTTCCTGTCTCCTGTCCTTCTGACGTGGCAGAACAAATGTACAATTCAAGCTTTGAAATGTGGTAGCTAAAAATGACCCAGTAACAGCTGATTGAACACACAACTACAATGCTGGGTTTTTAAATAAAGTGTGATTGATAGATATGTTCACAGAATGACCTAAACTTGCCAAAAAAGCTAACGTGCACAGTGTACCAGCTAAATTTAGCCAAAATATATTTGTTAATATATAGAAGATGTTAAATAAAATGTTTAAAAATGCCAAATGATACGAAGACAAATAAAAACCTCCTCCACTTTTGAACTGAACTACGATCAGTGATTATTAGGCAACTTTTTTTTTTTTTTTTTTAAAGACTTCTACCAGGAAACGAAAACAGGATTGACAGGGTTTTTCACAGGTTGGCGTCAGTGCATTCCTCTGAGTCTGAAACCTCAAGCAATCTTTTCAAACACGTAGAACAATAGACTCCAACCCTAATTTGTGTGCGTGTGTGTGTCTTCCACAGCTGGCTTCATGGACATCAAAACAAAGGGCTGCCTAGCACAGGCTGAGTGCAACAAAACCGAGCAGGTGAGCTTCAACGCCGTCGGCCAAAACGCCACCCTGTACACCATGACCAAGACATGCTGCTCCACTGAACTGTGCAACGCCGCGCCCGGTTTGCCTGGAGCCTCTGGGATCAGCCTGGCCTTCGCCTCCATCACTGCTCTTCTCATGGCCAACTTCTTGGTTTGACAGGGGGGTGTGAGAGGATAATGGACGTCAGAGTGCACACCAGGGCTGCACCTAATCATTCTGGCCCTGGACTGTGGTAGAAAAACAAATAAAATGAAACATATTGATACTAAAGAGCTGAAATTGTAAACTAAAACTATTCAAATAATGAAGCCATCCATCGAGTCTGTTGCAGCCCTGGTGTACACGTACGTTATACATACTGTACACAGTCAAGCACTACCAGGAATAAATCAAACGGCCTTCTGTGGTCTTGTAACTCTACATATTTTGTTTTTCCTACTCCACGTTGACCTTTGTATTTCACTGTCGCTGTCATTCTCTTTTATATTTGACACAGTTGTTTGTCTGTTGAACTATTATCCCTCACATTTTTTTTTTTTTTTTGTATTTTCAAATGTTTTAATTTTCTCCTGAAGAAATAAAGAAAAGATTTGAATATGTGGAAGGCAGCAAAAAATATTTTGATTTCATAAGTTACTGTTGACACTTTCACAGGCATACAAGTGCCATGTAGTTACCTGTGCCTACCTGAATGAGCAGTATAGGGTTTTGGTAGCAGCAGCAGTCTGCTACCAAAACCTAGCGGTGACTTTATGTGCCATTGTAGCTTCATGAAATGCTTCAGCATCACTGTTTGTTACACATACACTGCTTTGATTTTAAACAGTTGTTATAACAACCTTGTAATGCATTGAAACGTGTAGCCTAACGTTACCTATTGCGCTAAACCGGTATGCTAGGTCTGTAACACAAACGGCTAGTTAGCAGGACCATACTACTTTTACTGTTTCCAGCCTGAGAAGTTTTGTTTAAGCCTAACTTAAAGACTTTAAAACTAATAAATATTAACAACTGGACTGAGTGGAAAATAAGTGAGAAAAACTGACAACTAACAGATTTAAAGGATATGAATTGTGATGCTGGGCGATCGCATGGCTTAGCTAACGCCTAGGGTTTTTTTTAAAGGAATTTTAAACAAGTTGAAAATTTAAAGGCTTAAAATAAGGAGAGTTTGATGCTACATTGGAGGTTTTAAAAACTGAAAATCTTTAAGAGTAACAATTGCATAACAGAAGGCAGGAAAATGGGAATGATTGCTAACTAGGCTATTTCTGTAATTGAAAAATAACTAGCAGCCTATTTTAATAATTTGGCACACATGTTAGATGGTGGTTTTAATGCTAGGCTAGGTTAGGCTCAGCCTGTTGTGTCATGTTTATTATATCTTTTTTTTATAGTATGTCAGCCGTATAATTCTTTTTCTTACTGGGAAGGAAAAACAAACAAATTATTAAATTAAATAAAATTCATTGCCTTGACCCACTTAAAATGTCATATTTAAACACCATTATATAACTTCGAGGCTGTTACCTTTGTAGCTAACATTCAAACAGTTTAGCATATAGTCCAGTAAACATTTCAGTTTTGTTTTATTGCTGTTATTTTTTTTAAACTAAAAAAATTGTTATTTTAACCCAATTCCTTTTAAAAACCTTTATTGCATAGAAGCTTTGCTCAACTGCTCCAACTTTGAATGTATATATAGGGAAATGGGATAAATCAGTGTCGAGACAATAAAATCGAATTGTGATTACACCGCGTTTGAATCTGTCAAAACTAATGAGTGACATTTTGTACTTTTTTTAATGATTCCAAATTAAAGCTGAATTAATCATCCCTGTCTCTGCGTCTAATGACGAAGCTTTAATGTTGTAACGTGTTCTGTCTCATAGTCAGTTAAAATAAAGCAGCCGACAATGTAAGGGGAAAAGGTCTGTGTGAGAGTGTGTTTCTTTTTCTTCTATTCTTCACCTGATGTAATTCAGTTTCACATTAAGCCCTTCATGCAGGATCAGCTGGTTCTTCTGGTTTAAGCGTGTGACTGACATCCACCGTCATGAACTCATCTGTCCTGATTTGTGGTTTTGGCATAAAGTATAGAAGGACATAAATAATAATTGCAGTAAAAGTCTGAGAAAGCTGCTTATTAAAAGCTGTTTTATTTGTTACCTTACACCAGGGTAGAGTTGATATGTAAGTGTATAAAACATATATAAATGAATGCTTAAGATGTTCACATGCAAACATTTAGACATGACAGGTTTTGGTGTCCAGTTAAAATTTAAAATGAAAATTTCTCAAATGACATTTGTATTGACGTAACATGAAACAAGGCACTGACTGTAAAAAATAATTTAGGATATCTTTTTAGTAACATGAAACAAGGCACTGACCGTAAAAAATAATTTAGGATATCTTTTTAGGATAAGAAGGATACGTTTTTTAATTTACTGTTAATACCAAGATAGGTCATTATTCATCTGCATCTTTTCTTCCTTGTGCATCAATCCCCAGCAACATTCCTTCACTCCCAGTTAGTCTAGTTGCAATGTAGAAACTCAATAGGACTGGAAACCCCAACTTGTCTCCTCCCATCACCTGTGACCCGCTATAAAGGTCAGCTCTCACCTGACAGGCTCATTAGTTTTTGACTTCACACAGCAACCAGCCACAAAGGCAGGATTTCCATCTAAGCAACAGGAACCAAGGACCAAACCAACACAGAACCATGGCCAAGATCTTATTAGGAATCGTTGCTGTCATCGCATGCTTCATGCTGGGTAAGAATAAATGTCACTTTTTCTGTTCTTATGTGGGGAATTTTTTTTGTTTTGGGAAACTACATAGGAATGACTTCTTTAGGTCAAACAATTAACTCTCACTGATGTTTAAGAGTTTCAGTAAGAAGCAGTCGATACAACTGATCTGAAATGACTTATAATATATAATCAATATGATTTTTATTTATTTATTTAGGCTTTGACTCACAAATCATTTGAACTTTTAGCTTTCACTGGAATGTGTAAGAAATGTTTACCTTCATTACTGTTGATGTAGCAATATAATAATATATATAAATATAATGATATAGAAGTTTGGTAAAGTAATTGGATTTTCATTGTTGGGGTTTTTGGAGTGTACGATCTTAAAGAATTGATCTGAAATGCAACGACAACAACAATATCCTTTGAACTTAGGCCAGTTCCGTTAAATGAATGGAGAGCAGCAGGAGTCAGGGTTGTCCACTAGAGGGCTTTTTTCTTCACTCTATTGAATGTCCAACATGTAACAGTAAATCTAATGAGCTGTTCATTCCAGTCCGACTGACTTCAGAAAAATGTTGACGTCACACCTGCAGCACCAACAGGGCTAGCCCCGTACAAGAACATGAATGTTTTATGAGAACAGATGACACTGCACAGTATTTTAAACTGCTGTTTCTTTCCCTTCTGTGTTTCAGTCGAGTCCCTGAAGTGCAACAAGTGCAGCCTCGGTCTTATAGGCTTCTGTATCCTTGGAAGTGAAGAGACCTGCTCTGGAAACCAAACTGTCTGCTATACGGCCGAAGCAAGTAGGTTACGCCCAAATTCCCTCCACTCTTTGCACCCTGAATTATTCAGATGGCACTGAACAGGCAGGATGGGTTTCAGTCCCTCCCCAATACTCAACACATTGTTCTGAGCTGCATAACCGGTATCATGTGAGACCAGAATTCCAAGTGTAAAAGCCATGATGACAAAAGCTGGAATTTTTAAAAAGTTTTTTCCAGCCAATTAAAAAAGTCTGTATGCACGCCCTGTGGAAAGCACACACACGTGATGCATCGTTTATATCAATTATAATAATTAAAGTAAAATGACTGTGTTGATTACACAGTACATAAGACAATGTTTATATATGTATCCATAAATAATAAATATATTTATATACATGTTTATATAGAGATTTTTTATTTTTTGAATATTTCTCATCCATTTTTACTAACCCCACTGACTCGGCATTTCTTCACAGAATTCGACAAGGTCCCCATCAAGGGCTTCGTCACTCAGGGCTGCAAAGTAAACAGCACTGCCTGCGGCACCTCCCAGAGTAGCTCCATCGCGCTCCTCCCCATCGTCACCTACACCACCACAGTCACCTGCTGCTCCACAGATAAATGCAACCCCGTGGACACCAGCGACGCCACAACCGTCAAGATGACGTTCACAGCCGCCATGGGTGCAGCCGTTCTCGCCTCCGCCTGGGGGAGCATGCTATAAAATACCTACCAAATCACTAACGACCAAAAGCTGCAAGACTCCCTGCCCCCCCCCCACCGCTCCACCCACCCCGGTCAACTCTCTTGTCATTCACTAGTGTGGTTGATTACTTCCGGTATACATAAATCTTCTAGGACACGCTTTTATTTTTCGTACTTCGTTATACTTCCGGTTAAGAGCGGCGTTTTTAATGACAAGCGCACTTGTTCCAGGTGTTCAGGTCATAAACAGAGGTTGGCCAATGAAATGTTTCGAAGAAATATTGAGTTCAAAATTCTTTCACGCTGCTATTTTTTTTTTTAAATCCATACTTATATTTATCCTTTTGTCGTCTCTGTAATACTGTAGACCCTTCCCGAACAAGAACAATGATAGTGAATAAAAAAAAAAAAGAAATAGTCAAAGATATTTGTTGTTGTTGCTACCTGTTCTTATTTTCAAATAAAAAACGATGTTAATGTTGCTCAGTTGTCTCTTCTCTTCTTCTTCTTCTCCTCTGCATCGACCGCACATAAGGCAACACCAATAACACGCTTTTTGGCTAGAAAAAAAAAGAACAAAAAAAGATCTAGACTGCAGTTGTTTCACCAGGAAACTGTAATTTTCAAAATTAATTATTAAAATATATTATATTTTTAAATAAAATTATTTAAAAACTCAAACTCACTCAGTGCATCTCGGGTTTTTAATAATTTAAAGGTATTCTTGTATTGCAGATTTTAGCTGTATCGTGGGTTTTTGTGGTAGCTATGTATATAAACACTTTTTAATTTCCAATATTTTCAATTTTTTTTTCGTGATAAGATAAGCATTTTCTAGCCTTAGAAGAAAAACAACAGTAAATAGTAAAAAAAAAAAGACGAGATTTCGTTAAGTTTTTTGTTATATAATATAATAACTATCGCGTCCCTACTTCACGGTTTTTGAAACGTAATATCGCGAGAGACGAGGGACCAATGTTACCAATGTTCCATCTTGGTGTAATTCACCCATAGTTCTGTACATTGTTCTGTTGAGAAGAACACCATCCGTGACCATTTGTTCTGCGTCATTAACAATTCAACAGTTGGACTGCAGCAGAAACCAGTTGGTTTGTACAGGTCCTTTAACAAACAAAGATCAAGTGGTCGGGGTCGCAGTAACCCGATACTCTTCTATCTATAATCTACGAGGGGGCAGGGGAGAGGAGAGGGGAGGGGGGGACGACCCTTGCCTGGTGTGGGAATGAGATGAAGGTAATATCAGGGTGTGGTTTATCACCATGGAAACTAAATTCCAGTTCTATGGACTTTACACGGAACTGATTCTTATTCTCGATATTGTTTGTGTTGTTGCAAAAGACAGTATAGTATTTGATAAATAACAAAAAAACAAAAAACATTCTTCACAGAGTTGGCATGAACAGTACTCCCCCTGGTTCTGGTCCGGTCACCCAGTCAACACAGGGTTATTACCAACTGTCTTCCATTCAAACTATAGAGTCACCATTGTTCTGTAATGATTCAGTAATGGGTGTGTGTTAAATAATGGACGTATTAATATAATAGACTAAACTACACACACCCTGCTGTGTTTCATATATTTATTACCTCAGCTGGAAATTATTCTTTATTAGTTGAGTGGTGTGATCACACTCATACCAATACATATATAACAATAATATGTATATGTATGTATGTATGTATGTATATTTACAATACCAATTTAACCCAATATTAAAGCTACAGAACCTGTTCCTTGGGACCCAGTTGCTGCTATTCTGTCTTTATAGATAAAGAACAGGGTATGTGGAAAAACAGGAATGTTCTAGATGTATTTAAGATTTTCTTTTTTTAAATTATGATCTATATAATCAGGGTGAAGGCAGATAACTCAGATACACGTCGAGCTTCTTCAGAGAACACGACTGGTGACATTGTTTTTCCTCACCTGTGTAACATGAGGTGATTTGTTTTACCGATAAAACCACCGTTTCCTTTCAGAGGTGATGAGCCACTGTGTGACATCAGTGCGTGTGACATTTGTTGTTGTGTGATTGGTTTTGTGTTGCATTACATGTTGTGTTTTGACTTTTGATTTTTCCATATGTGTCGTTTCTGCCTAATGACGCACAGCCTGGATGCTGTGTGGCTAAACCCCAGCATGTGAGTAAGAGCTCAGCTATCTGCTACACAACAACGCTAAAGTGTCGTGATCAGATGGGTGTTAGCGCTGTTAGCATCCCAACTGGTTGATGGTTGATGAAGAGGTAGGATTAGAAAATACAAACCCGGCAACAAAGTCGTTTTTTAAAAAAAAAAAATCATGTTGCAAGACATTTACATGACTGGAAACAGAAATGCCTTCTTCAATGTCCCGTTTGTTAATTTTCTGTAATTCCTGTCAACTTCCTCCAAATGTCTGTAACCATGTCGGACCAGATCATCCTCATTCTTGCACGTTGCCTCACCGCAGACTGCTGGGCTTTTCACTGTCCGCACTGCCAGTATCCAGACCTGCTATCACGTAGAGAAAACTAATAACCTTTTGACCTTTTTAGTAACTATGAAGATCTTGTGGAAAGCGGCGGTTGTCCTGATCTCCTTTGCTGCAGCAGGTAGGTCTGAAATGTTCAGATGGGGCCGTGAACGGTGGTTTTATTGACCTGCCTGTGTGCTGCACTAACTGCCACACATGGACACAGGAGTGCTGTACTGTGTATAACAGGTTAGATTCAAATTCAAATAGTTAAATACACGGACAAGTCATCTACTAGATTACTTACATTCTGTGATATCTGAGATTTGGTTTCATCACCAGTGCTGCGGTAGGTCTGAGATGAATTTAAAATGATTTAAAAAGAGATTAAAAAATAAACTTTATATGTGGACCTGTGTAAAACATGGAGAGGTTTTTCTGTACCACACAGCGTCATGCTAATGAATTCTCTTCTGTGGAAACTTCTTGTTACAAAACTTTTAATATAAATATACACATTTTCCATGTTTTCTTTTCACTGAATAGTGCACTGCCTTGACTGCCGCCAGTGTCCTATCGGCATATTTGGACAATGTTTTTTCGGAAGTGATCTAACGTGTAATAACGCAACTCAGAGCTGCTATCGAGGAGAAGCAAGTAAGGAAAACTATCATCTGTCACTTTTTGGGGCGTTTTCGTGATGAAGCCAGTTTTACTTTTTTCTGTGCTCCCAGAGTTCAATGCGACAGGACCCATCTCCTTGCACATCCGCGGCTGCCTGGATTCAGACCTGTGTGGGAAGACATTGACCGGCAGCCTTCTGGGGGCATCATACACCAGCAGTTTCGAGTGTTGTACTACAAATCTGTGTAACGGAGCCTCCACGGCACACATCTCTCTGACTGTGGCCCTTTGTGCCGCCATCCTGTCCGCCCTCTGGGGCTCCTGGGAGCCATAGTGTCACGTGTTTAACTGGTCCAATGAATGTATGTGTTTTGTAGCAACCTGTGATTAAAATGTGTCTCAGTCTTCCTAATAACATGTTTTACCAGACTGTAAAGCCTTCTGTCTTCTTGAAATAAAGCTAAATGTCGCCCTCTGTTGGTGGTATAGTAACACAGCATCATTTATGGCTTTCATATTATGTATGTTTATGTTTGTTTGGTTCTGTAAACCATAAAATGAGCAAATATAGCTAAAAAAACCCCACAAAAACAAAACTGCATAATCCTTAACCCTTCGGAATATATTATAAATTTGTGACTCGGAACAGAAACAGTTGAGCAGCAGCAGGAAATGGAGGCGCTGTGGTAAAGGAGGAGGGGGAAGGGGGGAAGGGCGGGTGGTGAGGGTGAACAAGAGGAGGAGAAAGCAGTGAGAAGCACTAGCAACAGGCGAACACTCTGAGGTACAGTCAATTTAACTCACTCATTTTTAAAAACTTGTAATATTTCCGTGTAAAATGTTTAATTTGTTAACGGCCGTGTGCTGCGTTCAGGGACAATAGTGTTAGCAGTTAATCGGATTAAACGTTGACTCTCCTCAGAGATTGTAGCAGCGGAACAGGAAAGATGGGGCTATGCCCTGGTTCAGTTTTTCTTTTGAATAAGTACATTTTCCTTAACAAATTATGCATTTGTGTTTCAAAAACAGGGCGTTTTTTTATCTGCGGGTGAAGATGAGTGACGCAGGTCAACCCAAAGTTGAACTTTTTGTCAAGGTAAACGATGTTTTTTATTATTATTATTTATTTATTTTAAAAACCTACGCCAAAACATGGCGCAGTTTTAAAGGCAAACACAGTTTAAATGCAGAAAAGTATTCTACTTTACGTAGTTTAATTACATGTGTGTTTGTCCGTTGATGACAGCTGTGTGACGTTCACTGACAGCTAAACAATCTGTAGTAACGACTCAGCTGGATTTAAACATCATAAATCTGATTAAATACAAGATGCCGTACGTCTATATTTAACGTGTCAGCCAAAGCAGGCTAATAATCTCATTTTGTCAAGGACAAAAATATAAAGTTCTCTAAAACCCCCGCCTTGCCTTGCCTCCCCCACCCCTCATGCTCTTACACAAGTTTCAATAATGATTCCACTGTGTGAACGTGGTGAAACTCCCTCTTCCGTTTTTTTTCATTAGGGCTGAAAGATGCTCTTGTAACTTTACTAAGTTTTTGGTTTTAATACAGTTGTCTGAAAAGAGTGGACGTACAAAGATGTTTTATTGATTCTGATGTCAATTAAAGTACAAAATACAGAAGCTAAATAACAACAGAAAAGCTAGTTAGCTAAATAGCTACAGCTTCGTTATCAAATTGATTAATGTTAACAAGAAAAAGAAAAGTTAGTCCTTATAAAGGGGATAGAATTTTTTTTTAAATGTCAAAAAATAACACAAATATTCTAGGCTATATTGGCTATAACTAAAATGGATTTGCCAACGCTGTTGCTAGTTAAAACAGTTACAAGACTGGCTATAACTGCCCTCCTGTTTACACAGAACCTTTCCTACAGGAAGCTTTAGAGTGACTTCACTTGATGTATGGCTTCCCTCAGCCACACAGACGACTTGTTAAAGCCCAGAGACTGTTTCCTGACAGGCTGAAACGCCCTACACAAATACAACAAATGGTTTTTATTTTGTTTCTAAAAGTGGCAGACAACTGTTTACTTTAACAGCGGGTCTGTTTGTTTTTGTTACTGTTAAATCCATCACAGCAGGTTCTCTCCTGTCGAATGCTTCTTCAAATGTCTGTAATGCTTTGATTTTTTCCTCCATTTTGGCTAAGAATAGCTGAGAAATCCTCTGTTTAAATTACAGTTCAACTCATACAGTCCTATATGTTTGTTTTTCCAGGCGGGAAGTGATGGACAGAGCATCGGAAACTGTCCGTTCTCCCAGCGTCTCTTCATGGTGCTGTGGCTGAAAGGAGTCACCTTTGACGTCACCACTGTGGACATGAAGAGGTAAAAGAAAATACACCACCTTCCTTCATTTTAGGTGTTCTTTCCTTCTTTCCTGTGAGTGCTGCAGGTTTCTGTTGCCACAACACGGGAACATCCAGGTGTATTGTAAGGGGGAGTCTTTTGTCTCGTTAGAGTGGTTTTAGAAGGTACAAATTATGTTCAGCAGATTCAGTTTCTTTTTTTTTTTTTTTTTCAATTTTATTTCCTTGTTCCTCTTTTTTAGTTGTAAAAAAAACTTCTTCTTAAATGGCTTTATTTAGGTTGTCTAGAAAAAAACACATGTACAGATACAGACATCATGAAAAAAATACTTAAAATAAATCACATGACTGTGTTTTGTAAACTAATGATAATGGCACACAATAAATCAACATAAATATTTAATTTTTTTTCTTTTTTACATATATTTTTTCCTTTAACCCTAGGAAGGATACTGTACTTCAGTATTTGGCGTAGTTTTTCCAACATTTTTTCTGGTACCAACCACAGCCTGACTTCCTGTCATCGTATCCGTTCCTGATCTGCCCTGTGTTTCTTCTCTCTCGATCTCAGGAAGCCTGACGTCTTGAAGGACCTGGCTCCCGGAGCTCAGCCTCCCTTCCTGTTATATGGCAACGAGGTCAAAACTGACACCAACAAGATTGAGGAGTTCCTGGAGGAACGTCTCTGTCCGCCGAAGTAACCTTACCTTGATTTTGTATTTTGTATTTCTTGATTCTTGTATTACTAAGACCATTTAAAAATTAGTCAAATTTTACTGCCCACATGTACTCCACAGAAAATGTTTTAAAAAATGTATCTTTAACAGTGTATATGTTGTAATAATGTACTTAAACTCCGGATTACAAAATTAACTTTTTTAAGAAAATTAATTAATAATTTTCTTCTTGTTTCTCAGATATGTACGTCTGGCCGCTCGGAACCCAGAGTCCAACACTGCAGGCATGGACGTCTTCTCCAAATTCTCCGCCTACATCAAGAACTCAAACCCCCAGGCCAATGAAAGTTTGTGACGTTTTACAATCCTTACACTTAGTAGACTCTTTTCTTGAAAAATATTTATAATAGCTCCGTCACAGGAGTTTATAACCTCACTCCAGGTCACAAGTCAAACCTGCGACTTTGTCATCGTTGTCTCTGTGGTTTTGTGAACAAAAATGCCATACATACATTAGAGGTCATTTCTTTCGCCACCTGTGTGCTCAGATCTTGAAAAGGGCCTCCTGAAGGCGCTGAAGAAACTGGACGACTACCTGGGCTGCCCACTTCCTGAGGAGATTGATGAGAATAGCGCCGATGATGTTGTTTCCTCTTCCCGCCCCTTCCTGGACGGCCAAGCGCTGACTCTGGCTGACTGCAACTTGCTGCCTAAACTGCATATTGTGAAGGTTAGTCTTCAGTTCTGAGCTCAGCATCAAGTTGGATTCATTATGAATCTACGAGTTGAACTGAAGTTTCCTTTCCTCCGTTGTCCACTGCCCACAGGTGGTGTGTTTAAAATACCGGAAATTCAACATCCCCGACTACCTAACTAACCTGTGGAGGTACCTGAATGCAGCGTACGCCCGGGAGGAGTTTGCCTCCACCTGCCCGATCGACGAGGAGATCCACATTGCCTACGCCTCTGTAGCCAAAGTTCTCAAGTAGGAGGAGAACGTCACCAATACACCAGAACAAACATACAAACAAACAAACAAACAAACAAACAAACAAACAAACAAACAAACACCAGAGACCAAGAATTGACTCTGCAAGTAATGTGATCAACGTAAAGACTGTGTTAGAGACACACACAGTGGAGTCCTGTTTTTATATGACTTTAGTTATTGTTGGCATCATCATTCAGCAGTGAATCACGGCCTTGAGGAAATGAGATACGCAGATGAGAAAACAATCATAAGAGATAAATGTAAATGTAAGCGGCAATTGTTGCCAGAAAAATTCCAAAACCTTTTTTTATTTAGTATTTAATTCATACACAGGTATAAAAACGTGCTTCAAACTTCATCCAATAAATCTGACTTACTGTCTCCTCAGTTTGGTGGTGGGAACTAAAATTTTCGTTATCCTATTTAGTGTCTTGTGCTTGATGAAGGATTTTTTTTTCTTGTTATAGAAAGAACAAAAATGTTTTGGCCATGCAACAGGTTTTCTGCACAATCTTTGTGCTGATCACATTACTTGTAGACACACACACGTGTCTGTTTCTTGTCTTTGACCAAAGACCGGGCAGGGCAAACATTTGATTTACATTTTTATTTTAAGACCTTCTGAGAATGTTGGTCTGTTTTCCCTAAATAACAAACAAATGACCAACATTGTTTTAATGAACAGAGATAGATAGTTTTTTTTTGTAATTTTTCATCCTGGTGGCAGAAGTGAAATTTTGTTGGGTTTTTTATTTTTTTACTTTTTTTTATTGATACTCTGTAATTTTTTTTTTGTCATCCTGGTGGCAGAAGTGAAATTTTGAGCCTCTCTGTCAGGAACGAGTTGCAGAGCAGAAACCGAAAACTGTTACAGAGACAGGAAATCGTTTGAATAGACTCCGACTTCCTCTTTCCGTGTTGCCACTGTGGGCGTGAAGGATTATTCACGATGACCCAGACTGTACTGGTTTGTTGTTGCTACGACTGTCAGTTTGGGTGACGTTACAGCGCTTTAACGACTCACTGCTGCCCCCTGCTGCAGCGTCCCTTGTTGTTCCTCAGGAAGTGGAAAAAATGCAATAAGAAGTTTGATGTAAAAAAACAGTATTTAAAAAAAGAAAACAGCAGCCATATCTGTATTTTCTTAAACACAAACTCTCATTTATAATCATCAAATCCCCAAAATACTGAACCTTCTGTAATCATTTTAAAGTTTTATTATTCTTTTATTTTTTTCCAGGAGCACAAACAAGACATTGCTGATAGAATTATTGGATTTAAAGTTTACTGTGAAACAGCAGAAGTACGTGTGTCTCGGTGGAACTTTGCAGCCCTGTGTCTAATCTTCACCTCTGACATCTAGACTATTGACTCAAGCCGCACTGTACTTTATATTCAGTTGATTCCCAAAGTTATTGTATACAATCCAGCGATGTCTTTACTGTCCTAGGAAGAAGTCTGACTCCAGCACACTTTAAAACTCAGTGAGTCAGTGTTTTTTTAGTGAGTGAGTGTGTGTGTTTTATTGTCAGTGACACTCACTGAGATCACTGATTGTGGTTTCTGCCCAGTATTCCAGCAGTGGGATTTGTTTTGTGGGATTTTTTGATAATAAAAATAATTAAATAAATTAAATAATTAAAAAAAAAGTATATATGTATATATATATATATATATATATATATATATATATAAACAAAATGTGACTTGAAAAACAACAAGTCTCTTATGGTATTATGATACTGCGTAAAGGAAGGGAACATTTAAAGATGCAGTTTTCAGATCAACACAGAGCAGTTAAACCTAAGTGCTATTTCAATCAAACCAAAATGACAATCTTTAACCTTGTAGATAAGTATATATCGACGTCCTTGATTTGTTATTTCACAATGTTTAACTCGACTGAATTAGTTGCAGATTTTTCCACATTGAGTCATTTCTAAAGGGAGAATGTCTAAATATTTGAAATTGTTGTTCTGTGGTAGTATTTTCTCACGCTAAAACTACAAGTTTTTCACTTTTGATGGATTTTAATTTAATGTAATGTAATGTCGGAGAACATTGTTACTTTCATTTCAATAAGTTGTTTTCTTTTCATTTTTACTCAGAGATAAAGGTTTTTTGTCAAATTGAATTTGATGCACTTAAATGTCAACACGTGGCTTGTCAACAAAGTTCTAACCAGTAATAGAACCAATCTAACTAACAGGTGTGTATTTTATACTCTAAAGCTCTTAGGAATACACACGTATTCATTTCCTAATAAAAGTTTTTCAGGACAAAGTGATGTCGTTATTTCTTCTCTGCATTGTATTTGTACCAGATATTTGTTCAGTTAATATTTTCTTTTATTCTTTTGTCCATTTAATACTGCAGTTTCCCACGGAGCCCGCAAGAGGGCGCGGGACGTTTTCTTTACATATTTTTGTCTCTTGTTTTTTATTTGTGGTTGTTGTAACAGATTGGTTGTAATGGTTTTACACAGTGTTTTTTTTTTACATGAAATGTGGGCAAAATTACATTTGAACAGCATGATACTCATACAAGATATTTATTAGACATTAGTCAAACCTTACGACACCTTGGTTTACATTTGAATTAAAATAGCTTTAAGCGAAATTATAGATAGTAATCTTTACTAGTAATCTAGTAAAAAACGGTAAGTGAAGTTTCACGTCAGCAGCAGAGCGAGTGAAGGCAGCAAAGCGAGAGCGGCTGATGTCCAGCAGAGGACAGTAACCGACCCTGCACTGTTGCACAGGTCAGTGTCACAGCACACATTAGTGTAGTTGAAGTAAAGTCCTGAGGCGTATTTCTGTCCGCTCAGGCCGCACTGAGCGGGAACAGCACAGCTCATCTCGTACATGGTCAGCTGTAGAGCACCTGGGGGAGCAGGGAAACGAGTCTGAGACCGGGACCAGTGTGTAAAGTGAAGGAATTGGTTCTAGTTTCTTTAGAAACATGCAAAACTGACCTCGTTTTCCCGTCGCAGTGCTAGACAGACAGCGCTGACCTTTCGGACACTCCTGAGGAAACCTGAGGCAGTCCAGAGGAGAGACGGCAGGAAACACACAGGTGTAACAGTGAAGACAGCCTGAAGGCACACAAATAAAAAAGTAAAATATATGTGTTCGTTCTAGATCGGCACAATTGGTTGAATAAAAACCTGAACCCATAGAATTGTAGTTTTTCTTTCTTTAGTTTTACAACAATTTTTCCATTTTAGTTTCTTCTATTAGATTATTTATTGCTATACTTTTTCTTTTTTTAATTTAACTACACGATACACATTTTTCTTGTTAACTGTAAATAATGGACTTAATATTCCAGTATGACATAAGAAATGGTTGACGGTTGTTTAAAGAATGATAACTGTCCAGAGTCGTCCATAGTAATCTCATTTATTTTTACATACCTGCCATTGGAAGAAAACCCAGGAACAGAATCAGAAAACAAACACGAGGCATTGTTCTCCTCTTAAAAAGTCTTTTCTGCTGTTCAGGTAAAATGGATGATACAAGATAGAAAATTCACTCTTTTAGACATTAGATGTCCATGTTCTCATCACTGATATATTCCAGTCTTAGGTCATCTACATGTGTTTTTCTAACTCCTGACTACTTGTTCGGTCTTGTCACAGGTCTTCTCTTCGTCATTTATCGTCCTCCCCCTTGCCCTGCCATAACTTCATTTGGAGAAGTAATTATTATCAGCTGACAGAAAATGTTCTAAATGTGCAAATAGTGAAAATACCTGTTTCTCAGTGTCACATGGCGACGGCTTCGAAAACATTTTTGGTTTTGGTTTTTGGTTTTGGCTCATTCTGGACTGATATTTAACTTTGTACCCAACTGACTTCTACCGATATTTTTAACTAACTTCAAACCATTTCTGAGTTTAACCTTCAACCATGTACTCCATAATTTTTTAATGATTTGGTCAAATTTTAGTTTTGGCTGAATCTATATCATCCTTTGAATATCTTTCTGTGCTTTTGATTTTTCTTTGCTGGAATTTATTACATTTTCTCTTCTAACTTTTAGTCATGTTTAGCCCATTGTTAATGTGACCAATTTCATCGCATGCAGTTTGTTTTCTTGACTCTACAGTTTGTTTTCTTGATTCTACACTATTTTTTATAGGTAGATATTTAACTTTTTGATGCATAAAAAAATGGGACAATAAGTAATAAGTTTGTATGGGAACCACCAGATGAAGTCAGCTGAGTGTGAAGGGAGTCAGCTGATGGAGATAAACAGAAGCACTCTCTTTCCGAGAGTCATAGTGAGTAAAGTTAACAGCAAGTTAAGTGGATTATCCCTCAGAACAGTAATGGGAGACGTGCAGCAGTGAACAGTCTGCTGACAGTGCCTGTGTCTGTTAGAGTGTGTCCAGTTTGTTTTTTCAAATTCAAATTATTTATTATTTATTAATTTAAAAATAACATTCCTGTTGTTGTTCATTTTAAATGAAGTGTATTATTCCAACACAGATTTATATGTGTGTGTGTTTTTGGTGAGGGAATAGTAATAAAATAGTAAAACAAATCAAAAATAATAACAGATTAAGACGGCAGATGTCAATAAGATGTGGAAATGAAACCAAAAATAATGACAATAACAACAGGCTTCAATGTGTTGAAAAAGAAACGAGTAACAGTGCTATCCTGTGGACGTACGCGGTACTACGTGGATCGTTTCTCACGTAGGGGAAACGTATTTACGTCAACACGTGCTGACTTGTATGTTGCTTATGTTCCGTTCAGTACGTGGACTCCTGCATGATTTCTGCGTAAGGAAACAAACACAAAAGGAGGAGAAGGAGGTGGAGGTGGAAGAGGAGGAGATTGAATGTTGATGTGTTTCTCCGTGCATGTTGGTTTTCAAACGAAGATCTGAGAGACGGAACAGAATTCACCGTGAAGAAGAAGCAGAAAGAAACAGAAGCAGAAAGAAACAGAAGAAGTATGAGGATCGGGCAGACGTGACTACTGCGGAAACTGTGCACAACTTATTAGAACGCGAGCACACTTATAGTTAAACACGCACGGCTACGTTTGTGACGTACACATGTCACACAGAGTGGTTTTGTAAAAAAAAAAAAGGGGGAAAACATGATTCTGGGGAGATTTCAGCCCGGACCCTGCAGGATATGGTTCTCCAGGGTGAGTTCTGCTTTTTCTGTGCTTCGTGAATGCAGCACATGTTCGTTGTGTCCGTTTGAAGATATAGTAAACATAGTTTTGTGTTCATTGCTGTGTTTCTTTTTGTTGCACTTCCTCACTTTTAAGACTCGCCCTAAACTTGGCTTCCTTGCGGTTGGCACTTCCCCAGGCTGCCTTGACTTTGTTTTGACATGCACACTGAGCTGTAGTCCAAGTCATAAAGTCTCGCGATATGACAGAATCGCGGCACCAACTCCACGTCAAAACACAATTGTTTTATCACCCAAACTTATTCGAATTTTAGCTAGAAAGTTCGATGAAATGCGGTCAAGGTTGGTGTAAAAAGTTCAAATGTGATGCGCAAAGATAGCAGTTAGAAGTAGTTAAAAGTTGTGGTGATATGTCGGTCGTTAAGGCTAAAAGCTAGCCGAAAGATGAATAACACACTTATCAAATTAAAGCCGAAAATGTAATTTTTAAAGTGTGACTGAATATATAATATAAAGTTAAACAAAAAGTATTGTTAAAAGTTAGACACAGAAAGTTTGAATAAAAGAAAATGGCCAAACTAGGTCGAAGTTGTTGTTTTTGTTTTTTGTAAACAGGCATGTAGCTCAGCCTCCTTTACTAAGGCTTGTTATTATAGCAGGGAGCTGTGGAGCTGTACACCACCCACAGCAAACAACTATTGTCACAGTTGAGGGCTGAAAATGTAAAAAAAAACAGTTATTCAGAGATTCATATCTCTGCTCCCTTTACATTCACTTCACCGCCACTGTCTGGATTCATGGTCTGTCATTTTACTGTATCCCAACTCTTTTGGCAGGTGTCTCTGAAGCAGGAGCTGTGTTTCTCCTCGGTGCCTCCTCAGCCGGTGCCTCCTCTGGCCCACACCTTACAGGGCTACCTGAAGGCCCTGGAGCCTCTGCTCCCTCCCGAGGAGCTCAGCCACACCTGCAGGATGGTGCAGGAGTTCGGGCGACCGGGCGGCCTGGGAGCTCGTCTGCAGAAGGGCCTGGAGAAGAGAGCGAGAAACACCAAGAACTGGGTCAGTGAGCTCTCAGTCTGTGTGTGGGAAGTGTCACAGGTGTGAGAAGTGGATTATGGGAGGAGCAGTTGTGTGTTAAAGTCCGACAGCAGCACCTCATATTTTATGATTAATCAGATAGTAATCACTCAAATACGCATGCTCTCTAATGGGTTCCAAAAGTAATCCAAAATAGGAAAATGTATTTTATTCATTTTATTAACCAGAGGATTAGTTGATAACAAGTTGACAGCACACAGATTGATCAACTCATTGATCAAAATGGAATAAAAATCACAATCTTTAGGATTTATGATTGACTTTTTTTTTTTTAATTTGCAAATTGCACGACAGTGGTGTGACATTTAGAGTGTGTGTTCTGCAGAGCAGTAACTTCAGCTCCATGTCTGTGTACGTGTGTGTTTGCTGCAGATCGCAGACCGGTGGGTCCAGTGGGCGTACCTGGAGAGCAGACAGCCTCTGCCCGTTCACTCCAGCCCAGCTATTTCTCTGCCCCGGAGAGATTTTAATGACTGGAGGAGCCAACTAGTGTGAGTCAGCACTCGCCGGTTTGTTTTCCACTCTGTTATTCAGCACAAATGTCACGGTAGTCTATGATTTACAATGAGGTTCTGGCATTTAGTCAGAGGCTGGTGCTGGGAACCAACCGTAGACTTGGACACTGAGCTGAGCTGAGCTGTACTGTAAAGTGTAGCTGCCAGACACAAGGAATAACTACATTCAAACCACAGACCTTCACAGACCACAGCTGCTGGTTACCGTTGTAAATGTCGGTGGAGAAGGTGAAGGGAGCAGTAGGGCTGGTGACCAGGGATGAGTTCAAGTACCTGAAGTCCACCATCCAAATCTGACCTGCGATGTGTCACATGGTTTGCCCCGCAGGTTTGCATCCAAACTGATCGCAGCTGTTCTGGACTTCAAGAGCAAAATAAAAAGGTATGTTTTTGATTTGTTGGCTTATTTTCGAGATTATAACTCGTATATGTCAAAAAATGAAAGTAGAGTAGAAGAGTCTTTTTCTTTCTTGTTGTCTTTATGGTTAACTCCTGTCAGCAGTATAACAGCATCAGTGGTTAATATTCCCGATGCCTTAACAGTGGCGCAGCATCAGTGGTTAATATTCCCGATGCTAGACGTCGCCCTCTTGTGGTCATAGAAAATAAATTAAATTTTGATATCCTGTATAAGTAGCGGCATAAGTCGGAGGACTATTCAAATTAATGCAAAAAGCGGGACTTGTAGTCCAGAAAAATAGTAAAATGAAGTGAAATGTATGTATGTGTGACTGTATAACTATATATGTATGTATTGCATGTTACTATGACATTCACACACATGACATTCATGAAAAAAGAGATGTAAAAAAAGAAATGTTAATATTTCAATTTTATTTTTGCTACCTTACTGTTAATTTAAGTGGACCTTTGGATTTACTTAACATCATTTAATATTCTAAATAATGCCAACTCCTTTTGTAGTGCTTCAACTTCAGCCTGACTGGCATCGTTTCATGTTTCTGAGCTTCATAAACTGAGGCTAAATTTATTCTCCCACTGATACAGTCTCAGTTTGTAGCAGCAGCTTTTCAAGGTCGACAGCTGTGTTGCTGTTGAAAGGGCCTTGATGTAAAAACTTCCCCGAGTGAAACATGAGGAGCGCAGACAAACTGTTGTACAGTACAGTCAGGGAGTGACATCATCATCATCATCTGATGGTTAACATGTATGAAGTTCACAGAAAACACCCAAAAAACAATTCCTCAAACAACTTCCTATTCCCTCTCTACCTCCCAGTGGCCACCTCCCAGTGGACTACATGAGAGGGAAGCCCCTGTGCATGGAGCTGTACCCGCTCCTCTTCTCCTCCTGCAGGATCCCGGGGCCCAAACACGACTACCTAGCACACTACGGCCGCTCACGCGCCCCAACGCACATCACAGTGGTCAGGAACTACCAGGTGAGGGGTCGGGGGGTTTCTAGATTTTGTTTCCTTTCATGTGCCAGTGTGTTCAGCATTGTGTCCTTGTCCTGTTGGGTTTTGTGTTACCACACCCCTCATGTTTCCCAAGACCTAAACCACAGCTTATAAATCAGTGGTCAGAGTCGTGTGGTTTCAATGGAGAGAGTTTAATTGGACAGAGTTTTGAAATCCAAATTGAATTCTTGATATATGATTCTAAAAAAGTTTTATTTAAAAATGCAATAAAAATAATAATTTCATGTGTTAAGACCTGGAATCTATATTTAACCCCAAAATGCCTAAAGAATGCTGTAGTGTTTTTACTTATCGACCATGTATGATGGGTTTTTTTTTTTTGTCCACAGTTCTTTCAGCTGGAGGTGTACAACAGTGACGGCACTCCTCTGACAGAGAGTCAGATCCACAGTCAGCTGCTGAGGATCCGATCTCAGTCCTGGAAGACCGACAAGGAACCGATGGGAATCCTGACCAGCGAGCACCGCCACACGTGGGGAGAGGCTTACAACCGGCTGCTGAGAGGTAGCTGAGAGGGGTTTTTTTCAGCATATATTACTGTATATGCCAATGCACATACCTACCACCACAGGTGCAAGTTTTGATCCCACATGCCGGAAGGAAGTAGGTCAGGATTCTGTGGTTTATTGACTACAGTTAGCCAAATAGTCATTGTTACATTGTGAAAGACATGTATGTAATTGCATGTTTATACAGGTCTGTTTATATATATGTGTGTTTTTTCCTGTTTCTGGGTCACAGATAAACTGAACAAAGAGTCAGTGAAGCTGATAGAGACAGGACTTTTCTCCTTATGTCTGGACTCTCCAGTGATGAGGATATCAGATGAAAAGTATGTGCAGTACACACACACACACACACATACTTCTCTCCACACCCTGTCTGAAGTATTTCTGTGTTTGCTGATGTTGTGAAAACCACACACTCTGATATCATTGTATTGAACATAGGTGTTAAAGCAACACTTCTGCCAATTCTGGCTGTGCTGATGTGGTATTGATGTAGCAACAGCTACGTACTTTATTATAAGAACAGAAATACAGAAGTTAGAGGGCGGATTCAAGTCCGAGTTTCAGTTCGAGTTTCTGAAGAAAACTCCAAAGTAAAGGCATCGGTGTCGCACCACTAAAAAATTTTTATCATCAAATTTGAGTCTTTTAAAATTACATTTTATTTGTAACATCAAATGTATTTTGCTGTTAAAAATTAAATGTAATAATCATCGCATTGTGCTGCCACCGCAACTGACATCTGACCCGACTTTGACTGACAGGTACGCCAGCCGTAAAGCAGCTCAGGTATTGCACGGGGGCGGGACCTTCTCCAACAGCGGCAACCGCTGGTTCGACAAAACACTCCAGGTGAGCAGCCAGATAAAACGTGCCTGTTGATAATGCGGCGAGCGGTATGTGAACTCATCGCTGGCTTTGTGCTGGTTCCACAGTTTGTGGTTGGCGAGGACGGTTCCTGGGGCCTTCTGTATGAACAGGCCACTGCTGAAGGTCCACCTGTGGCTACGCTGCTGGACCACATCCTTCACTACTGGTAAGGCACTGAAGGAGTTAATAAACCCAGAGGCCTCGACTTTAGCACCTCAGAATATATGATCAGTGTGAAGGACAGCTGTTGGCTGTCAATACTGCTATACAACAGGAGTTTCTACTGAGGAACAAGTTCCAGGAACCAGGTACTGTACTGGGAACCATTGGTTTAAAAAAAATTGATGTACAGTAAGCACCACCTGTAGGTCCGCTTTTTATCATGTGAACCAACGAAACTGAGAGTGAAGAGACAACAGGTTCTGGACCAAAACAGTGAATTGTGCTCCAGTCTTCAACCGTGGCTCATGTTATAAAACACATTCTACACATGAAACCCTGTTATGTTCCATCAGATGTAAAGCTGCTGGATTTGTTCTCTGTGTCTGACCTGTAACTTTATGACTGCAGTGAGACACCTGACCCCAAGAGAGCGCCGTTGGTTCCTCTGGCCATGCCCAAAAAACTTTACTTCCACATTGACCGGGACATAAAAAGGGACATTGAGCACGCCAAGCAGAACCTGGACATGTAAGATCATTATACACACACACACACACACACATTTTCATCGTGCTACAACAATGTCTTCACTGCACAGTCTGATCTGCTCCCAGGTTGTAAACACTCTCTGTCCCCTGTGTTCATTTCACTTCAGTTTAGCTGAGTTTCCTTCATCTCTCAGTAGTTTTCATGGTTAAACCAGGTTCTTCCATTTCCTCAGTTCTGTCCAAACGTAGAGTATTGGTTCCTATTCATTCTTCAGCTGCCCTTGTCTGAATGAGGAACAAGTTTGGTTCCTGTTCTTCACTTCTGCCCGTAGTGGAGCCAGAAGTATATATTATCCATATATTATCTTATAAAAGTAAAATATATAGTTTCCTGTTGTTACAAATATGTTCAGATTATTTTAATTCACTGCAGATTGATCAACGATCTGGATGTCAACGTGTTCAACTTCAAGAAGTTTGGTAAAGAACTCCCCAAGACGCAGGGCCTGAGTCCAAACTCCTTCTTCCAGGTGGCGCTGCAGCTGGCCTACTACAGGTCAGTGACGGCTCCCGTCATTCTTCTTCTACTGCTTTGTTCTGCCAGAGGTCAAATAATGGGTCATGTTATATTTCAATTCACACTTAAACTTAAGCCAAAAACAAAAGTCACCTTTGAAAGACTTTAATCAGTAACACTTGAGGCCAGAAAGAGAGAAAAGTTGATCAAAGAAAATACACAACATTTGCAAAGAGATAACAATGGTTTAAAATGCTAAATTATCACTTATGGGTTGTTTTGTTTTGTTTTTTTCTAAAGGGTTCATAACGAGGTGTGTCCCAGCTGTGACATCGCGTCTCAGCGGATGTTCCGTGGAGGAAGAACTGAATATGTTCGCTCTCCAACGAAAGAGGCTCTGAAGTTCATACAGGCCTTCGATGATCCAAGTGTTTCGGTGAGAGACTCTGTGGGAATACGACCTGGTCTGCAGATTCATCACTTTGGTTTAAAACATTTTTATAATTATTGATCATTTTTCTGTTTTCTGTTGCAGAGAGAAGCGAAGCTGGAGCTGTTCAGACATGCAGTGAACGCCCACTCAGCCCTGACCGACCTGGTACACACTCAGACCAACAGTTGACCTGTGTTTTTACCCAGTGAACCCCTTACATCTTTTTCTGTTATCTCCCCCATCCCCAGACACTCAAAGGACTCGGCATAGAGCGCCACCTGCTGGGATTGAAGCTGCAGGCCATCGAGGAAGGACTGAGCATCCCTAAAATCTTCATGGACACGGCGTACGGGTTGGCAACACACTGGAAACTCCGGACAGGACAGGTCAGTTTGGGTCTCTAGATGTGGCAATAAGTACCAGGAACTGTTTTTTTTAACTTTTCTCTTTTCTCTCATGTCTTTTAGGTTCCTGCAAACACCGACAGCGTGATGTGTTTCGGACCCCTCGTCCCTGACGGTTACGCCATCTGCTACAACCCTCAGGCCGACCACGTCCACTTCTCCATCACCGCCTTCAACTGCTGCGAGGAGACTCACGCAGAGACATTAGCGCTCACACTGAAGGACACCTTGTGTCAGTTACAGGAGCTGCTGCAGCCTACTGTGTAGAGCTGCAGTGACAGTACATGGTACATGATGTACTCAGACAACAGGATCTACCCACTCGTCCGCACATGCCATAAAAAGACACTTTATTTCCATCGAACCCTAATTTTGGATTTTCTTTTTTTTCTTTCCTTTCATGCATGCCACTGAATATTTGAAAACTCTGTAAAAAAAGGAGTTTTCAAGGTGCTTTTTTAAAAAGCTTTAAATTTTGTAGCAAAAAGAGCTGAGCGGAATTATGGCTGTTACAGGGTTTCACCTCTGAGTGAAAGCAGAACAAAAGTTGAAGCCAAGCAGATACTCCAGCTGATCAAGCCAAAGCGTGTGTTTGAAGTGACAGCATTAATTTTCTCCAAGTCACCTGATGAATAGTAGAGGATCAATGGATGGGATTTAAAAGGACCAATCATGTGAAAGCTGGTTGAGTCTTTGACAGAGAAATAAGCTTTGAAGAACTTATCTCCCACTGTTGTTATTAACTAAACCTTTACATAAAAGTGAAAAGGCGTTAGCCGCTGTAGTCAAGCCTGTTGTTTTACCTCCTACAGGTCTGATTAATAAAGGCGTTTTTTCCATGTAGTCATGTGTTTCTCCTTGTGTTCATGTGGGCATGAAAACTCGCAGACAAACTCTGATTCGTACATTCTGTGTCATAAAAAGATATGTGTGTGTGTTTCTGTGGAAGCGAGAACGTTATCTATGGTCATGTGTACATCAGCAAACCACACCATGACATGGTTGATATCTTTACAACAGCTATGAGAACCACAGTGAACTATTCTGGGAACCTTGGGATTCAGACACCACATTGTTATCATGTGGTATTTTCATATTGTTGGTCTAAAATCAATACTTCTGTCACTGCGTATGTAGAAAAGTGTTGTGTACAACCAGGAAGATGTTGAACCAGTTTTAAATAAAACTGAAAACAATTTGCTTTACAAAAATGGATATTTTTTTAATAAGCTTAATCCTATGGGCCAGAAACCTTGTAAAAGGAGAACAAATGGTCAGAATAAGCTTAATCCTATGGGCCAGAAACTAGAAAAATATACATTCTGAATTCATACTAAGACAACAAAAACGGACCAATTATGTCCTTGCCCCGATAACACGTAGAATTCTGAACTGAGACTGCGAATAAAAATGATAAAAATGTCTTTTATCAGTTAAAAAAATAAAATTCTCTGGCTTTAGACACCTTTGCCAGATTACCTAACTTTTCAGTGAGCTGTGGGTGGTTACTATATGACACGTCATCTGTATGTGTTTCGCTGATTGGACAAGACAGGGAAATGACGTAATGTTCTTTCAAGTAGAAACCGGAACAAACAATGACAGTATATTAGAAGAGGACATGCAGCAGGTCTTGTTATTGTAGCACTTTGTTAATTAGTCAAAGTGTGATAGGGATATTAATAATTAAATCACTCAACGAGTGGACCTTGACGACTGCAGCGAGGACAGGGATAGTATCCGAAGATGCTAAAACAACATTAGCAAAACAACAGCTGTAAATATTTTCTTTTCAAATATTTCTTACATTTCACTTCAGCAAACCCTAGTGGATTTAGGTTTATAGAATTGTGCTTCAGGAGTTATGAAGAACTGCCGTCCGTCCATGCTGAGCAGGTGGAGCAGCAGCAGCAGCAGCAACAACAATAATGTAAGCGAGGCTCACGGGCTCCTGTACCCGCTGCTGTTGCTGTATCTCTGTGCTTCGGTGGTGTCGTACAAGCCGGTGGTTATTGTGCACGGTTTATTCGACAGCTCGGGGGATTTTAGAAACTTACTGCGGTTCATCAACGAGGTGGGTGCCTATCATGAACTGAAAGTGTTGCTCAGTGGTTACCTTTCAGTTTTAGAATACTTTATTCAAGCTGGTTCTGGACCCGATTGTATACAGTAATCAGTGACAGATTATATCATCACGTTTCCATGCCTGTGTTTTACTATCTTAACCAGGGCACAGGGTAGAGGAAACCACACTTAACGACTCTTAATATATCGTGCTATACCAAATTTCGTCTTTCATAAAGAAATGAAACAGTGGTCATATATTTTTTATATAAAATTTAAAAAATGAGGTTATCTCAAAGTAATGAGATTATGTAAAACTAATCTATTACTGATTACTGTCCAGGTTATAACAGTTTAATGGCTTGAATCTGTGTATAATGAAACCTTTAGCACGTTTATATTGAGGTTTAAATAATTACTTCACGTCTCAAAATGATCCCCAATTAATGACTCCATTATATGTCATTAATGAGTGCCTTTTTATAAAGTAATAGTTTTCTGGACACAAGTATTTTTATGACTTTTTTACATCCTACATTCTACTTTCACAATCCTAAAATACTAAATATTTTTATTTGTGTATATTTTCTGTGTATTAATGTGGAAAACCTTTGTTGTGACTTTGGTCTGATCTGAGTTTTGAAAAGGTTCTGGTCCATGTATTCTTCTCTGAAGTGATTTAGAAAATTAGATTCAAACATGCATGAACTCAACATGTCACATCACCAAGGATATTTGATATTCAGCAGTGTTTAATAGAATGTTATTGTAACGGTCGAGTCATTTGTTTTCATGCTATGATGAGGACTTAACCCAACACCTCCTCTCCTTTCTAGTCTCATCCTGGGACAAATGTGACGGTCATCGACTTGTTCGACAAAAGTGCCAGTCTGCAGCCCATGTGGAAGCAGGTGGAGGGCTTCAAGTCAGCCATTTACCCAGTACTACGAAATGCAGCACAGGGTGTTCACTTCATATGCTACTCCCAAGGTCTGAATGTTCTTAATATTTGATTTATTTGTTATTTATTTTGTCATTTTTCTATCAGACTAACCTGTACTGTAAACAATAACACATTATTTTTTTGTATTTCTTGCAGGCGGACTGGTTTGTAGAGGAATCCTCTCCACGCTTCCTGACCACAATGTCCAAACCTTCATCTCCTTGTCCTCACCTCAGGCAGGACAATATGGAGGTAAGTGGGACTTTTGAAGTAATGACTTTTACACTGAGACCTGTCTAAATCCCAGCTGATGTCTCTGTTTGTTCCTTCTTCCCAGACACCGACTATTTGAAGTACCTCTTCCCTCACTTCTTCAAGTCCAACCTCTACCATATTTGCTACACTGCTTTTGGTCAGATGATCTCCATTTGCAACTACTGGAATGGTGAGAATTTTGAAACATCTTTGTCTCCGTCCTCTGACCCTGTGTAGACGGCAAATTAAATTCTGCAAACAGAAAAAAAAAAAATCAGGAAACATTTACTTCTTTTGACACCCTGCTTTGGTTTTCCCTCTTGTCTTCCTCCAGACCCTCACCACAGAGACAGATATGTGAACAGCAGTGAGTACTTGGCTCTGCTCAACAGTGAGAGGCCCAATCCAAATTCAACAGGTTGGTAAACCTTTGAATTTACGACTAAATTATCTATTTAGATAATTTTGATATCGACACCGTGGGAACTTGAGTTGAATCTCCTTTTGTGGCTCAAACTCTAAATGTTGTAATGTAGAGACTCGACCTAAATTACTTACAACATAGTTTTCAGACCCCGATGTAAACACTGGGGATTTTACCTCACTTTTCTAGAATGACTCAAACCTTAGGTCTAAGAATTCAACTACAGCTTTGACTACATATTTTGATGGACATTAAATATCCACAGCATATACTGAATTATTATTATTTTTTATAGAGTGGAAGAAAAACTTTTTGAAGATTAAGAAGTTGGTTCTGGTGGGTGGTCCAGACGACGGAGTCATCACTCCCTGGCAGTCCAGGTAACTGAGTCTCTTCACAGTTATTGAAACTGACACGTGGGAAACTGCCTCCCCACACCAGTTGTTTCCATGTTCTACATCTATTTTCTGTGAAAACACAGATGACTCATGTGACACTCACACATTTTATGCCCCTGTGTTTGATTTTTTACAGTCAGTTTGGTTTTTATGATGACAATGAAACTGTTGTGGAGATCCAGCACCAGGAGGTGAGTTTGCATCATGTGACAAAACAGAAAAAAAAGCACAAGTTCCTGGTTATCCAAAAATAGTTAATGTTTTTCAAAGTTATAGCAAAATTAAATCAACGTTTCAAAAGATACGGAAGAAATAGAAATAAAGAAATCGAATTATGTCCTACATGTAAGGCATAAGCGATGCCCGCTATCATAGAACCACATTATATAATAAAATATAATGTTATATAATATTATATTGATTTTTCCAGGTTTATTTAAAGGATGCTTTTGGCCTGAAAACCCTCTCAGCTCGTGGAGATCTGATCCTCTGCTCCATTCCTGGTGTGGAACACATCATGTGGCACTCCAACGAGACGGTGTTCCACACCTGTCTGGAGAAGTGGCTGGACTAGTTCAACACACACAGTGTTAGTTCACTCTTAATTCGTAATGTGTAGATGAAGGACAGGTGATGTACCAGTTAATTTTTAACACTTGGGAAACGGTGGAAAAGATTGAGATCTTTGTAGATTTAAATGAAATATTCCAGATTAAATGCCACTCTTGTCACCAACACACGTGAAACTAACACCAGCTAAAAAAAGACCAGGGCAATTATTCACCAACCATGTTTGGTCCAACTGAAACTCAAGAACAGTGTTTTTATTCACGATCCTTCAAGTACTAAAGTACAAAACAAGATCAGTATTCTACTTAAGTGAGTATTCAGAGCTATACAAGTTGGGAATTCCTCACTATTTTATATACTTTTCAGGTTGAGATGCATTTATAAGCTAAACTGTAAACCTTGAGTGGCCAAGAATAAATGATCTCAGCAAGTTTGATTAAATATCAGTATAAAAAATACATTTGTAAAAAAAAAAACAATTCATAAGACGCTGACTTTGGTCTGATGTATTGAGGAGAGGTTGATCCAGGCTCCTGAGAAAACGTTTGGATTCAGGATTTACACACAAGACACAGAAACAACAGGGAAAAATATTTTCTGAAAGGGAGAAAATGAGCTCACATTCCCAAATGGCAAACTTTTCCACGGAACAGTGTCTGTTTCACTGTGTTGCTGCTTCTGCAGCGAAGCACAATATCATTCATTTTTAATAGCTACAGATGAATTTGGTTCAGATTTCAGTTTAAGGTAAAAAAACAACAATCGTTGATTGTTGTTCTTTTCACCTTTGACATACGACGCAATGAATGTCTTCCAGAAGAGATTATCTGAAAAGGGGCAGCCTAAATATTTCAGTTATCAAACACAAACACCTCATCTAAACAACATACTCCGGCTCCGGTTGTTGTCAGCACAGACTGTTGGACTTTGAGGTTCTATCAACAGATAGGAAGGGGAAAATGTTTTCTTAGAATCAGACTGTTAGACTGTTGTTTTTGCAATACTCAAAATGTTAATTGTCAAAGTGCTACGTAACATGAACCAGAGCCTTAGAAAACCCCACTGTGTTTGCCACAATCAGTCTTTTACATGGTTTTTGTCCAGATTTTGTTGGTTTCCAGTTGGATCTACAAATATTGAGTTCTGACAGTGAAATGTGAGATTCAATTTTTTTTCTTAGTCTGAAAATGGTCTGGTTGGGTAAGAGCCCCACCATTTCTGAATTGAATAAGAACCTAAAGGCATCATTTGACTACAAACTGGTTTGTGTTACATTGTACTAGTAAGGATATTTCAAGTCAATAACTATTATGGTCTTCTCTTAGATGTTCTTCAGTTCTTTTTTTTCCCACTTGACAGTTTACCTCAGAACCACTACCACAACTCAGAGAGTGCCTGATCATCACAATGTACAGACTCACTGCCCTGCTATCGTAAAAAAAGAAATTCCATTTATCCTGCATGTCCACCCAGTCATATTTTGTTGTGTTATCCTAACTACTCAGTGCTTTGGATGTGTACTTAGGTTGGCAGAGCGTTAATATTTCCCCTGATACCTCGGCCTTTTTTGTCCTTTACCAAAAGTGCTACAAATTGCTGCCTTCAGCCACGGTGCTAATGATGGTGATGGAGGTCCTGGAGCGTTAACGCCCGGCTGTTGTTGAGTGTTCACTCTAAACCATTGGTACTTAAACTGTCAGGCTATTGGACTCGTAGTTTCTTTTCTTTTACTTTCCTTTCCAATGGTTTCAACTTGTTTTTTTCCATACAAATTTGTATTTTCTCATATTGTGCTATGTCAAAAGAGTTTTATATGATAGTATTTTACCTACAAAAACGTCATAGTTTAGACAAGATAACAAGACAAAGAATAGGTAGACAATGTCATGTATTAAAAATCCTGGTCCGTGTTCTGATTTCAGAATAAGTATTTACAGTATAGTTCCTTAAACCTACCTTTGGGTTGTGACCTACAATTTGAGAATGACTGTTTTGTACTGTACGGTGTTTGTGGCTCTCCGTACCTCCCATTACATTTAGAAATCTCAGGCATTTTAGCAACCCCAAATGTTTGTCTATGTAAATAGTTAAAGGCATTAATGTCTCCTAATGGTTGAATTCCAGGTGTCTCTCACAGGGGAAGAAAGAAAATATGTATTGTTTCATTTCTTAAAAGGATTAAAGGGAAGTATGAGTATTTTGCACATGTGAGACACACGGTGGGACAGCTGGGACGATTCACAAGTATTATATTAATTCTGTTTGCTACATTGAGTGTTTGCTCATGTTAATTTAACTGCTTAAATTATTGTTGTTAAAGGGATGTTCTTACAGATCAGTGATAACACAGGTGGAAAATGCAGACCAGACTACTTTTTTAAAAATAAACAAATGTATATTTTGACACCATCCAACAGTTTGTACAGTGTTTGGTCTGAAAAAATGAAATGTGTCAAATGTTGTAAGTTCCTACAATAAAGTAGTGTTTTTAACTTTTAACGTGTCTGGAATCCTACGTTTTTATTGTGAAGGTAGAAGTACCAAACTTTGTAATGTTAACCCTTTGAGGTTAGTGCAGAGTAATAAAAGCATCTGGTAAATAGTTTCATGTTCTGTTCCTGCTAATAAAACACTTCTGTAACAAAAAATATTTTAAACATAGTTTGTGGGAGACAGCTGCATTACACGATTAATACACACATGCACATTATTGGGCAACTTTTAAATTGTTTAAATACGTTTAATTCACTTTTTTTTCAAACACAAACAGACAGCTGTTTGTTCATATTGTAACTCGTAAATTTATATGATTTACTCTATACTATAAACGTTATAATGATTTATTTGACTAGCTCAAGACGTATAAAGTCACCTTAGTGAACAGTTTGAACAGACTTCACTTCCCAGCATGTCTTGCGTACAGGAAGTAGTGGAGCCCTACACCGGATATCTGCTCGCGGCCGCGTAAGAGGCCCTTTTCCGTCTGTGAGGAGTGTTGTACAGAGCGGCAGACACAAGTGAGTGTAAAATTTACTTTTTTCTAGGTCTATATATCCTCAAAGACGATTTTTCTGGGCAGCGAGACACACTCTGGTATTCCGTTAACCCAAAAGCGCGACGCAGTCGGTGTGGTTTAGCGTAAATATTTATTTAAATGCCTCTAACTTTCACCGTACGAGTACAACAGCTCTGCGTGTTAGCATGTAGCTCACACGTTAGCACATGTGGATACGGCATGTCGATAACTAGGGTCAAGGTGTTGGTTATAAGTACCTGACCGACTCTTGTAGGCTAAATAGATGTTGCTTTAAATTATAGCAAACCTATAATGTGTCAAATTACTACTCGTCTCACAGTTATTTAAGGGCTATTTTCCCTGGCGTCCGTTTTTTAGGCACCGTTGCTCGGAGTGAAGCTAATCAGGCTCCAGCTCTGGCCCTGCTGCATGGAGATCCGGGTCTGTCTTAACGTTTGTCAAATCTTACCGTATGTTCCGTTTACATTTGTCGTGCTGTACCTGGATATGTCACAGTGTATATTTCATTATATATTCATAAGAAACGGTTTTATCTGGCGTCCTGTTTAAAGCGATATTAAAGCTTCACAGTTTAAATAGGTTTGTCTTGTAAACGAACGATTTGTGATGTAACAACCACATCAATTATAGGATTAACGTTCAGATTTTTCACGTTTAAAATGTCAAATATGATGTTTGAAATTAAGGTGGATTAACCCAGGTAGTTGCAGGATAATATCCAGGTCAACCATGAAAGTGTTTTTGCTCTGACAATAAAGATGAAAACCAACACCGTTTCCTTGTCTTTTACCCAAATCCCCTTGTCTGCATCCTTTGTATACGTTTTATTTCACTGTCTTATTTTCATAAATGTAATTTGTTTGCAAAGATTGTCTGCATCCTTTGTATACATTTTATTTCACTGTCTTATTGAATACAGTTTTCATAAATGTAATTTGTTTGCAAAGATTCAATGTTTGTGTGTAATACCGTTTAATGTGTTAATGTTTCTTCATGATGAACATTGTCTCCACAAAGTTACGTAATTGTTTAGGTGAAATCTACTGAAATGTTGTTTGCAAAATGTTCTTTCCTTAGTTTAAGAATAATTAACTGAATTTCTTCTTTGTCCTCAGTGGCTGAGTGGGAAACTGCCCCAGCTGTGGCTGAGACCCCAGAGATCAAGCTCTTTGGCAAGTGGAGCACCGATGATGTCCAGATCAACGACATCTCCCTGCAGGTGACCACAGCATCGCTGTCTGTTTTCATCTCCTGTGTTAATGAGACGCGAGGCTAGAGTCACATCTGGACACAGACCTGTAGTCCTGGTGTGCTAGAGTGCTCGCAGAGGAAATTATCTTTGCTTATTCATTGGCTGTAGTCTCATGTGGCCCAGCCAATCACCAGCTCAGATACATAACATTTTACACTGTTGTTTTAAAAACTCAACTTTTATTTTAGACCCTCTAATCACCTGCCTCCCCACCACAGGATTACATTGCTGTGAAAGAGAAATACGCCAAGTACCTGCCCCACTCTGGAGGACGTTATGCCGCTAAGCGTTTCCGTAAGGCCCAGTGCCCCATCGTGGAGCGTCTAACCAACTCCATGATGATGCACGGCCGCAACAACGGCAAGAAGCTGATGACCGTGCGTATCGTCAAACACGCTTTTGAAATCATCCACCTGCTGACTGGAGAGGTATGTACCGAACATTTAACCGTTTTTGGTTGTTCTACGGATGTTTTTCATTTTAATTAACTTTAAAGTCCATGTCTAAAACTTGTTTTAACCATACATCAAAATACTTTATGACATACTGGTCTTTAACAATAAAACTGCAAGACAAACTTAAATCTTAGGGACTTTTAGTTACTTAAATGACTTAAAGGTCATCAATTAAATTTATTTTATTAGACAGACTGTTAAACTCTTCATAGTCTACAGACCCAGGTAATTGTTTGGTTTTTTTTTTTGTTCCCAGAACCCCCTTCAGGTCTTGGTGAATGCCATCATCAACAGTGGACCCCGTGAGGACTCCACCCGTATCGGTCGTGCTGGTACCGTCAGGAGGCAAGCTGTAGATGTGTCGCCCCTCCGCAGAGTCAACCAGGTGACGTGGTCTAATCTGTTTACTTATTTTGTTTTTCTCTATTTCTGTCTGAAAGCGAGGCTAGAGTCACGCCTGGGTACTGCCCGTTGTCCTGGTGTGCTAGAGTGCTCGCAGAGCAATGTCTTTGTTTATTCATTGGCTGCAGTCTTCCGTGGCCCAGTCAATCACCGACTCAGATACATTACACTTTATGTATACATTTATATTCCATGAAAGACGACCCGTGTGTTTGTCTCATCCTCTCCTCCTCCTCCCTGTGTTGTAGGCCATCTGGCTGCTGTGCACAGGAGCAAGAGAAGCTGCTTTCAGGAACATCAAGACCATTGCTGAGTGTCTGGCTGATGAGCTGATCAATGCAGCCAAGGTAAGAACTGATTCACTCCTGGAATCTCCGCACTGTTGTTGTGTAACTGTTTTCCTGTAAATCAGGTGTCCATTATCAAAGAAAATACAAATGGATGCAGAGGGGAGAGCCTGGTTAACTTTGAACTTTTTTTTCCCCCCCAGGGTTCATCTAACTCTTACGCCATCAAGAAGAAGGACGAGTTGGAGAGAGTTGCCAAGTCCAACCGTTAAATGTGTTGTCTTTGTAACAAAACGATTAAATCTGGACAAATTTCTCTGGTGACTCCCCCTGGTGGTTTATTTTCTTTTCAGTCTGACTCTTAACGTGTTAGCTCGTTTATCAGGTTAACTTGGAGTTTGAATTTCACTCATTGCATTAAAGTAACGTTTTTGTCACTGACGTCTAATAACTGTTTTTAACTTGCAGTATGATGAATAAAAGTTGCGATATCTATTCATTGTTCTGTAAGTTAAATGGAATCAAACAAAATACGGAAACAGAACAACATGGATTTCCTGTGTATTTAACTCTTACCTAAGAGGTTGAATTTAAAGGGCACTTCAACTACAAAAAACATAGGTGGAATTTTGGTTGTGTGGTGGTTTTGTCTTATGTTCTAAGTCAAGTAAAAAAAAAAAAAGCACAATGAAGGTATTATAACTTTATTGGTCTATACAACTCTAAAAATATCTACATAGAAAAAGCTTTCTTCTTTCAAACATTTTTGTGTTTTGGTAATGTAATTTTTCATTTTCTTTGACAAATCAGAGAAACAGAATATGCTTAATTTTGAACTGGAGAAAAATGTAATGGTTTCATGAGTGGTTTTCTTGAATAAGCTGCGGTCTTTGTCCAGCAGGGGGTGCGATTGTGTCACACACAGCTTATGTACTAATGTCCCGACCTTAGATAGAAATACTGCATGTCAGTGTTTCCTTTAACAATAAATAGATGAGGAGTATAATGAGTGGAGAGAGTGAGGAGTTTTCTTCCAAAGGGTTTGAATTTAACACAGACAGAGTGAGAGTGAGTGTTGGAGATTCCTGTTCTTTTAGAAGTAGGTGTGTTTTCTGTTGATGAGCAGGCAGAGTGAAGACAGAGATGCACCCAGTTTGGAGGCCTCGCTGCAGGCCGTGGGCAGCAGAGTGTAGTCCTGCAGCTTCTGGAAGGCCTGCAGATGATGGGGAGAAATAGCTACAGTTATGATGGGACTGTGAGGACAGGAACAGACTGGACTGGAACTGCTTTAGTGGAAAATGTTAAAGAGAGTCATAAAAGAAGGAAAGGCAATGGAAAAGCCATCCATTCACTCAGTTCACTGTGAACTCCTGCTTTAAATAAAATATGACGCAGTCCATTTATGAGGTGGCAGTAAAACCTCTGTCTTGATTTCTTTTTTCTTCTGATTTATAACTGATATTAGCGGCTAAATTAGCATGTATTTCACATTGCTTATGTGGTATACAGTACAGCGGTGATGCCCAACCATTGGCTGTTGGGAAACACTGCACAGCATGTACTTTTGCCCAGTTGCTAAAAGCTAAATTTGTTAATTTTAACAAAGACGCTGATGTTTCTGCGTGGACTCACAGCCAGGCTCTCAGGGCACTCCTCCGTTGGCCGGTGGAGCAGGAAGTCCTGCTTGGGACCTTTGATGTAAATGCAGTTAGCAGCTGCTTCCTCTGGGACGGTCAGGATTTCATAGTGGTGGTCAGTCAGCTGCTCCATCATCTGGAGACAAAAGGCGCTGAACTGAGACACAGAATCTTTACATTTACTTTTCACCCAGAGCAGGTGTGAGGACACTCACCCTCAGGGTTTTCTTGACCTCGTCGCTGTTGCTGAAGATGATGGTGTTTGGACCTCCCATGGAGCAGATGTTTTTTAGTCGGGTTCCACCACAGACTGGGATGGTGGACACGGCAAAGTCCTGCAGGATTGGAAGTTAAAATGTTTATTATGTGTACAAGCTGTCTTACTGCGGCACTCAAAACAGTTTGGGCTGGACTGTTGTCTTTGAAAAAAAACTTTGAAAAAGAAACTGAAGGCTGAGATTTTCTGACTGATATCCAAGCAGAGTCTGTGGACAGCTGAAAAAATGTTTCTGAAACCCGATCCTCCTCAACTTCCTCTTTCACTCTCCTCCTCTCTCCCTGACCTCCACGTCTCCTGCCAGACTCACAATACACTCAGCAAAGACTCACACACACACATGTGCATAAAACCTGTGTGAGTGTGTGTCTGTGTGTGTTAAAAGAGTGAGCACTTAAGAGAAATGAGGGGATCAATACTGATACATGGCCCCTGTTCAGGAGGGGGCTCCACTGTGTGGTCTCCATTGTCTGAACAGTCAAAAAAAAACCCATTCGTCACTATTTACGGACTGTAATTCCCTTAATGCATTGCAGCATGAAGCCACCTGCTCACTCTGGCTGCTGGGTTTCCTCAGACATTAATATTTGAAGCCCTGTTCCCACCGCGGTGTCTGCTGACATCCCCTCACCCTGAAAGTGTCAGCCAGCACCTCCGCTCCTCTGCGGTTGGTGTGGGAGGAGATCCCGACGAAGAACTCCCTCCCGGTGAAGAGGACGTCACTGCCTTCCAGCGTGGCTCCTCCCTCCTCGTCTCCCATCTCCATCACTGTGAGATGCAGCTCTGACATCACCTTTCTCACAGCATCCGCCTGAACAAAGGGTTTCAACCGTCAGGGAGTTGAATGACGACATAGAAACAAACAGAGTGATTTGTGTGGCATCGTTTCAAAATAAAAGCATAATTTTAGGAATATATCACACTTTACCCTCTGTAGGAAAGATGCAAATTTTTTATCACTTCTCTTTTAATTAAGTCGATTTGTAATATGGGAAACCTCAAAATACTCCCTTTAATAAAGATTACTTTATAACTAAAGTAAAACTCAAAACTATAAACTTAACATTTATCTAACGTATTATGTCTTTCTTTGGCCCCTGATTTGACTGGAATTAAACCCGCGACCTTCTGGCTGTAATGCGACCACCACATCTCCCCACTGAACCTCAGTCTGACCTTTTGTCCCATAAAAATAGATGAAGCGTATCATCAGAGCTCAGTGATGAAGACCCAGGTCAGCTATGTTACCTCGCTGCGTCTCTGCTCTTTGAAGGGTCTGGTGATGAGCGCCGTGTCTCCTTGGATCACCGCCACATCCTCTATCCTCCAGCTCTCCGGCAGCTCGGGGTCAGGGGGGATCTCGATGAGCTGGAGGCCCACCTTCTGCCTCAGGGCTCCCGTCAGGCAGCCGTACTGACGCTGGGCTTTGGCCAAGTCCACGGTGACCTCCCCGTTCTTCCCAGCGTCAGTCACAGCTTTCCCACCGAAGGTCTCCGGAATGCCACGCACCACGGCGTGGGTGAAGCGGCCGTAAGGACACATGTTGGCCATGGTTTTCAGACAGAGGAGCTTCAGACAGTATGTCAGCACAAAACGACCTTTCAGCCAATCTGATTAGATGAATCAGGAGATCCAGAGAGGAGAGGAGAACATCTTCATCCCAGTCTCTCTTCTCCTATGGGTTCAGCAAGACAAAGAGACAGAAATTAATTTTTTTAATGGAGATTTATTCTGCCGTGACACACTGTGGTCACCGCCGGTGCTGATGCTGCAATTTTAGAAAAGAAGAATACTTTTTTTTTACCTTGCTTCCAGTTAAAATGGAACAACGTGGCCTAAATATCTTATCTTAAAACTAAAAATTTGCCTTTTAAGGCCAATCTACCATGCTGTGGGTGAGGAGCAATCATGGTGTTTTGTATCAGTTCTGTATTTGAGACTATTTTGGCTCAGTTGTTATGAAATATTAGAACAGGACTTGGCCTCTAGCCTGTTTTTTTTTTGTTTCCACAACAGTAATTTTCCATGGTTATTGGAGGTTGGTTTTTTTGGCCTTGAGTTTCTACAGCGGGATTAAATGTAAACAATCATTAAATATTTACTTTAAGGAAAAAATGAAGGTCTTTGATTTGTGGAAGTCATTTCAGGAAGATTTCATTTTTTTCTCAGTTTCCTGGCATTTTCTGGACCAAACATATCCATTTATTAATGGACAGATGAATCTGTTAGTAAAGTACGCAGCTTCAAGACTGTTTCCTGCAGCACAGTGATGGTTTGGTTGATACTGTTTTTTAGTAGTTTTTCCAAAAGCAACAAGCAAACTCCTCAGCATCCTCTTCTCAAAGACCCACAGTCAGCTAAAACAACACACACAGATGAAAGTCAGATCCCACCGTGGATGTCGGCTCACAGGGAAACAGTATTGTGCAATGGCTCTGCCATATGCTCCCGAGTGTCCCCACTTGTGGGCAGAGGGTCAGCTGTGGGACAATCGTCCTTTTATCATTTTTCTCTGTGCTCGGAGCAGTGACCTGCTGTGAGGCTGAGCCCTGGGATTTTTCCACACAGGATGTTGAACAAATCTGTGTCGCAATGCCTTATTTAGAAAGATATGTGCTCGGACTTATTCATGTTTCGCGTGCTTATGAAAAGTGATTTATTTTTGTGAGGTTTATTGAAGTCAGAAGATCTGTGAGATAAAGTTGACATGAATGTGTCCCATAACGTCATCCATGTGGTTCCAAATATTTTTATTTTTGTGGAGAATAGAAAAACTTGTATAAATTTGTAAAAAAAAACTTGTACTTGTAATACATGTATAATTAGCTATTTTTCAATATTTCTGTCATGTAATATTTATTTCATTTTTTTCTTTCTTTAAATGTTGTTACAGTGACTAAAAGATTGCTATATATATATATATATAAGTGTAGGAAAATATGTTTTTAGACATCTACATAATTAATATTATATATATTAGAATTATTATATATATATATTACAAAAATCTGATTAGTCGGATAATAATAGGCGAAATCGTCGTAAACACTTCAAATATAAAAAGTTTTGTTGTCTATATTAGCTTATGTCTAAGTTCATTGTGCAACAGCTTTAACTTTTTTCAAATTAAATGTCGTTGTCTTACGTTAAAATATTTAGTTTTCAGACACCGCATCTTGCTTTATAATCCCGACCTTTCTTTTAAAGTTTCCCTAATTGTGAAAAGCACTGAAGTGAAAACATCTTTTTTTAGTTTTCACCTGGTTCCGGAGTAGCTTTTCTTTTAAAGTCCTGCTGCAGCACCAAAGTAAACAAAGTGTTTCCAGCAGCAGTAACACAGCTGCACCGCCCAACCCAGCTGATGTTCTCACATTTAACACCGAAAAACTAAAACCAACACAAAAACAAAGTCACGCAGTTGAACTTATACAAACGGGTCTTTTACTCTTACCTGTTTTTGAGCTCGTGTTTTCACGCCGGACCGCGTTTTCCCTATGTTTTCAATTTAATTCCCAGACAGAGGTCTGCTCCCGTTATTCCCTCTGAATCACTGTGACCACGCGTCAAGATGGCGAACGTGAATGTAACTACTTCCGGTCAATCCTCTTGCAATAAAATGGAGGATTTGCCGCTAAACTAAACTACACATTTATATGTCCCACTTTGAGTTTCCATAAGAATCGACTTACAATAATATTTTCCTATTTTTTGTGTATGCTGTTTTTGACTATACTTTTAAGTATTTCCTTTTTTCATTACCTCACAATAGGCAATTGTATGTATTATTTGTTGAGGTTATGTGCAAAATAAGTTAGATAGCCATGTTTTAACAAAAGGCCACAGACGATAACCCGTTTTTGTGTCTTGAAAAATACCTTTGAATATAAAATATATATATATATTTGTGTTAAATATCTTTCACACCATAGTTGGTCGTTTAATGCTGTGTGTCGTCGTGGCTACATAGATAAATATTGCGCTAGAATCTAATTGGCTTAACGTCAGACAACCGCCTTCACGATATGAACGGAACGTTTCTAACATGTTGCTCTTAATGTTAAAAGCCCATTGGTTCAACTTCCGGCCTATTTCTGGTGGTAATTGGCAGTTTGACAAATCGTCCCTCCTTTTCATCTCATTACCCTCCATCCCCCACAGTCCCACAGATTTAATCAACATTTGACGCTCTCCTCTCTCACTATTGTTGACACAGCTACTGCTTTGAAAAAAGAAAACTTCAAAACGTTAAAAAAACACCACAACAAATTAAAATATCAGAGAAGAAATTGACAGTAGTATCTACTTTGTTGCTGTACTGAAAGTCCTGGTGGATGAAGTCCTGTTTCCTGTGTAACTGAGACACTGCTGTTTCATTTGTGACGTTGCAAAATTAAAATGATAATCTGGCTTTTCCCTGAAATGTGGGTCAAACGCTGATTGAGTTGTTGGAATAATCTGCCCTCAGGTCAGACACCAGAGGGACATTCTCTAATGCAGCGTGAAGTATTACTCACGTTCATCTATTTTGACAGCAGCGATGTTAAAATACATAAACACATGCTGGTAGCAGATGGCCGCAGGCTTGTTTATACAGAGTAAGTGTAAGTTTATGGGGAGGACAGTATGTCCACCTGCTGGCGGAGCTGCGTAACAGCAGCGGGGAAAAAGGTCAAACGAGCGCCAGTGACGACGACAGGAGAAGAGTAGAAGAAATACCTCCGTGTAAATGTGTAAACAGAAGACTGTGAAGTTCATGCACACGTTGTGGGGCAGACAGAGGGATGGGGGAGGGAGGGAGGGAGGCAGAGGGACAGGGCAGAGACGGGATTAAACAGAACCATCTGTCCACTGAAATCTTCCAGCCAACACAAAAGCATCCCAGTCGAACATCACTGGATTAAAATGCAGCCTTGAATTCACTCCCATGGAAAACCCTGGTGCCCAGCACAGCTTCAGCTGCAAATAAATTCACGGAGGAAACAGTGATATCAGTGGAAACAGGAGAAACACAGTCCGTGCTCGGTGTATGGAAAATGAAGAATTGATTTGGTGTAGTGTTCCAGCTCCTCTCTGAAGTTCCAACTATTTTTTTCTTTCTTTCAAAAAGTTCAAAAGATTTTTGGGACTTGAATATACACACAGAGTGCTAAACAAATTACTTCCGGCTTGTCTTTTTAATAATACAATACATTCGTAATCTTACGACTTTATTATTATATACTTATGGCATTTGCCTTGTAACATTACAATTTTATTCCAATGAAATCATGATTTTTGTCCTAAAGTTACAACTTTTTCCGCATGAATTTACCCTTAAGAAACACCATATTTATACCATTCTGTTAATTTCATTAAAATACACCAAATATTTTTTTGTTATGTTTAATGTCGTGTGATGTAATTAAATGGCATAAACTAGAAGTCTGACGTCATCAGACTGTGCTGCGCCACCGCCCTCACTTCTCCTATTAATGTTGTGGAGGAGAATTCACTTGAACTGATTTTCTCCAACTCACTCTCTGTGTTAATGCTGACTCTCTCTGTGTTTCTGTATCTGTTTCTGTTTCTGTCTGCTGACTCGTCTCTCACAGATTCACAAACACTTTCTTTTCCTCTTTGACCCAAATGTGAATGTTCATCATTGTGAATTACTTCCCCATTCTCTTCCAGTGTGACCCACACTGCTGTGTTCAATGCCAGTGTAGAATGAGTGGACAGAGAAACACGCCTCAGGCCTTTACTTCAACGACACTGATGTGTGCTGTGATTCTGACCTGTGCCACAGAGCAGTGTCTGTCACTGCCCTCTTCTGGGCATCGGCAGCTCTCACCCTTCTACTGGCATGGAGCTTCACTAAAACATGTACAAGTGTCAGAGAGGTGATCTAGAAAAGGGGTCTTAAACTCACCTTAGGTGAGGACCCCTGACCTCACTGTCAATGTTCCGACAACAAACACACGCAAAGACAAATAAAGTCATTCTATTTCTTAATAATTATATAAAATAAATAACAAATTGTCATTGTATTTTTTTGTTAATAATTATATAAAATAAATAACAAATACAGTAATACAGTATAATTGAACAGAGCAAACAGCAATGTTTTCTTCCATTCTTTCCAGACTAACAAAAGCATTTTAATGAAGTTAAAGAATCCCTGGCCAATCACGTGTCACTTCTGCTTTCTGCTATTTAAAAAGCAGATGTAGGTTTCCATTTTTAAACCGAGCTGTCAGTGCATAAAATATCTGCTAACAAATAAGTCAAATGTATAATTTTAAATGATCCAATGTCCATGCACCGTAGGTTTGAGACCCCTGATCATGCATTCATTTCCAAGAAAACTAAAAAAAAAAACATTTACAATTTTTTTTAAAGATTTGACATCAGCTTCTTTATTGTCATATAAAACAAAGAAATTGCACATCATTTATTAATACACATTTTCTAACACAGAGTATTACATTTATCTGAAAAACTAAGAGTACCTTCATAGTTTTGTTGGATGAAAAAAATATGTAAATATTGTAGATCATTGAATATATTTATAGACAGTATCTGCAGTATCAAAAATACCTTCATTCAAATGCTTGCACCTTGATGTCACTGTAATCAGAGTCTTTTTTTTTCAACTCCATATAAGACAGAAAAAGTCCAGTTTATACACAGAAAACCTTTGCTGCAAAGTTGAACACGTTTTTGAGAAAGGCGTTGGGAGAAAAAAAAGAAGTTAAAAACCTCCAGGAATCGTATTCATGGATCATCTGGATGAACAAATCCAACAGGCACATGAACACAGATGATACAGTCAGACGTCGTTCATCCTGAGGCAGTGCTGATTCACATTCTCAGCCTTTTATTGGGCTCTCTCTCCTTCATTAGAAAAATAATCTATTTGATCTCTGATCTCACTGATGTGTCACATTTACACACACTGGTCCCCAGCCGGGGGTTGGTGACCCCATACTAGAGGATTTAAAAAAAAATCCCAAATATTTTAGTTGTTGTTGTTGTTTAAGCAACAAAACTCTATGATACAAACATATGTTAAAATAGTTTGAATTACCCCGTGAGAATGTATTATTTAACAAACTATTCTATTGGCTCAATAGTGACTGGTTAATGTGCGTTTCCACAGTAACTGGTGTTGTTGTTGTTGTTGTTGTTGTATGGCACAAATGAATACACACTTATGTCTACATATATAAATCCATGTGTTGAAAAGGACAACAATCCTATTAAACCTTATTTTTTTTCAGCAGCGGGTGACACTGACCCACTGTCACACCACAACCAGTCGTTGTTCCCACACTTCTCGTGTTCTTGGACATGCTCCCACCGCCGTCTTTGTTAGCTTTCTCCTGTTGCGCCTCCTCCGCCTGCTGTGTTCTCTGCCTCCCCACGTCATGGGACGCCATTGTAACGGCCAACATGGAGGTCTCTGATGGATACTCACAAACCTGCTCCAGCTGCTCCTCATCGAAACACACCTTCACCTGTAACCGGGCGGAGTGGTCAGAAATGATGTCATCGTAAAGCAGGTTAACACATTTGATCATAACAAATACCATTTGAAAAAAATTGAAGAAAGAAAGAAATAAAAAAAAATATTTAGTCAAGTAACAGGTTTTGCATTTTTTATGTATTTAATCATTTGAAACAGATGTCAGTAAATAGATCTGTGCAATTGAAAAAAAGGAACACCACATCACTTCCTTTTTGCCGTATCTGCAGAAGTCAAACAGAGGAAGTGAATAAATGCGGTGTAGCCTAGCAGGGAGTTTCTGTCGGAGCAAATAACATGTCAGTCGTCTTTAATCCTCTCAGTCTCTCTCTCTCTCTCTCTCTCTCTCTCTCTCTGTCACACACGTCTGTCAGATCTTCACATTCCCTTTCATTTTCTGCAAATGTTGGCAGCCTGCTGTCAGAGGTTCTCAGCCAGGCTCTGGCAGGTCAGAATGTTCAGTCGGTGTCTGCCAGACCTTTGGTCGTACTGAACTGTGAACACTGAACAGCCGACGTGGTATGAAGTGAGAAGTGTGTTCCAGACAGAGAGGCCTGACTGGACAGAAGTGTCAGAAATGTTTCAGATGAACCAGGAAGTTCTGCAACACCTTCAGACGCAGACCGAGGAAACGATCATCATCAGTTTTCATCAGACCGTACACAGAGAAAACTGGGTAGTACCAAACCATGCAATCCCTCTCTGTAATGGAGCTGTCAAAACTCATCACCCTGGGTGTGTGTGTGTGTGTGTGTGTCACAGGATGGCACAGTAAATGATTTTTTTTTAACTAAGTTTAGTACAGGAGACGGACTGTAGACTGTGAGGAGATGAAGGATTTTTTTCGTCGTTGTTGTTTTTCATTTCAAAGAGTCACAGGCTGCCGGTGTGAGCTAGAACCATTTTGTCCCGTTACGGTTCTTTGTGTTACTGTAGGGTTACTCGAGTCACGTAATGGAAGGAGCAGACTAACAGTATCTGTGGTCTACGTGTCAACCTTTCTGTCCCCAGTCTAGGCTGCAACAGCATGAAAGTGTCTTCAGGAGGCGGTTTGTAAAAAACTCTTGATTTGAGTCATCTGTGCAGGAAAACAACCTTCGGTTCATGTCACACCGAGAGACGGCAGCTGAAGGCTGCTGATGCTAAAGGCTGCTGAGTTTCTTATGTACATAAAATGTCTCAAAACTACAATCAAAAAAACCTTAAACAAACAATAGACTGTAGAGAATCAAGCTGCAGAGACAGGAGCTCAGGCCGATCTGCCCGGGATTTAATGACGACGCGTCAAGATGTCGTGCTGGACGAGGCTTTAACCAGCTTAGTCCAGGCTACTCAAACAACAGGGATGTTCTCTCAGTGGAAGGAGATTCAACATAAGGAACCTCGGACCATCAGACAGGGCAAATGAGCTTATCACGTCTGGTCTATCTGTGAAAGACCACCTTAGAAAGTGGAAAGCGACCGACGTCTATGAGTCCTTAAGCCAAACTTAATATTTACTGAAAAATTGATGGCAGTTGTGTCTGTTTTCCCATCTCTCCAGATATGTAGTGTAGATTTGTTTGATATGATCTCACAGGCCAGATTTGGCCCACGGGCCTTAGTTTGACACGTGTGCTTTAAGTGTTCCTACATTCCTGTTATTTACAGGTGAAACAAAGTAAAGGAATATTCCCACTCACCTTTTTTGTGGTTCCTTTATTCTTCACCAGACACGACTTCTCTAGATTTTGATATCCGCCGATCACCTCGATCTCCTCCACCTTGGGGTACTTCTTCTTCACCGACTCCACCACAGCAGGGGCGGTCTGAGCCGGCTGTGACTGGGTCAAAGTCGGAGTGGATGGTGTCGGTGCAGACGTAGACAT